TAGATGTACTTGAATAACAAAGCAAGCTCTCAATTCTAATTACACTAAAGAGCATGCTACAACTAGTTTACAAGAATATAAATGAGTGAGTAGAGTGATTATACCGCCGTGTAGAGGAATAAACCAATCACAAGATGAAGATTAAGCCAATCACCGGGAGAATACAAATGACAAGAGACAACCGATTTTCTCCCGAGGTTCACGTGCTTGCCAACACGCTAGTCCCCGTTGTGTCGACTAACACTCGGTGGCTCGGCGGCTAAGAGGTGTTTCACAAACCTCGTCCACACGATTGGTCACTACAAAAACCTACCCACAAGTGAGGTAACTCAATGACACGAGCAATCCACTAGAGTTACCTTTCGACGCTCCGCCGGAGAAGGTACAAATCCCCTCACAATCACCGGAGATGGCCACGAACAATCACCAACTTGTGCCAATCCTCCACCACTGCACCAAGCCATCTAGGTGGTGGCAACCACCAAGAGCAACAAGCGAAATCCACAGCAAAACACGAATATCAAGTGCCTCTAGATACAATCACTCAAGCAATGCACTTGGATTCTCTTCCAATCTCACAATGATGATGGATCAATGATGGAGATGAGTGGGAGAGCTTTGGCTAAGCTCACAAGGTTGCTATGTCAATGAAAATGGCCAAGAGAGTGAGCTTGAGCCGGCCATGGGGCTTAAATAGAAGCCCCCATGAAATAGAGCCGTTGGCTCAATTATTGGGCTGACTGCGCATCGACCGGACGCTCCGGTCAGACGCACTGGACGCCCCGACCGTGAATACCGGACGCGTCCGGTCGGCCCACCGGACGTGTCCGGTCGCTCCCAGGCCGCCACGTGTCTCGTTCAAACCCAAGTAACCGTTGTACCACACTGGCTGACGACCGGACTCTCACATCGGATGCTGAAACATAAATAACCGGACGCTGAGCCACCGAGTCCGATCGAGTCCAGTAAGCCACCAGGGCCAACCGGACGCGTCTGTTAGAAACTGACCGGACGCTGAGCCTTAGCGTCCGATCGTTTACAGTAAGCACCCACGCTCGACCGGACGCGTCCGGTCACTCCGGACCGGACGCTGCCAGCGTCCGATCAACTGAACAGCCGAACACCATTTTTCTAATTCACACCGGACGTGTCCGGTATGGCGACCGGACGCGTCCGGTCGCTGAGTTCGTCGCCAAATACCGGACGTGTCCGGTCACCATACCAGACGCACCGGTCACTCTATAACCAGCGCGACTAAGTCCTTTTCAACTCTATCTTCTTCACCCTTGCTCAAATGTGCCAACCACCAAGTATATCACCTTGTGCACATGTGTTAGTATATTTTCACAAACATTTTCAAGAATGTTAGCACTCCACTAGATCTTAAATGCATATGTAATAAGTTAAAGTATCTAGTGGCACTTTGATAACCGTATTTCAATACGAGTTTTACTCCTCTTAATAGTACGGCTATCGATCCTAAATGTGATCACACTCACTAAGTGTCTCGATCACCAAAACAAAATGGCTCCTATAATTTATACCTTTGCCTTGAGCCTTTTGTTTTTCTTTTTCTTCTTTTCCAAGTTCAAACATTTGATCATCACCATGCCATCATCATCGTCATGATCTTCGCCATTGCTTCATCACTTGGAGTAGTGCTACCTATCTCACAATCACTTTGATAAACTAGATTAGCACTTAGGGTTTCATCAATTAAGCAAAACTAAACTAGAGCTTTCAGACAGTCAGGGTAGGTAGCTAGGCTAGACAACGACGACACCATGTGAATTACGATGGAAGGCCATTGGCTAGGAGGGTCAACAGTGGGAGCGACCTATTGCCTCGGTCAGTGGAGGGCAAGGTGGAGGGTGATAGCGGGAGGTGGGTGAGGTGGCTCAACCTTGAAGGCATTATTGGCCAACTAGAAGTGGTTGAGGTCGGCGGCGAGGAAGGACATGAATTGAATTACAAATTGCTGTTTTTTCTCTTTCTTTTTTTAGGGGTGAGTGTGTTCAGCCTAGTCATGTTTTTTCACAACAATCTACATAAAAACAACTCAACTTTGTCACAACATCTCCCTGTTTGACACGAGCATGCTTAAAAAAGGAGAAAAACTGTTTTTTACAAGAAAAGGAGCAAAAACGTTGAAAGGCTTACAGGTGACGTTAACATGAATGCTTCAATGTTTTCCTAATATGATTCCATTTCTCACTACCTTACGGCATTAGCAAACTTTGGTACAATATTGACTCCTATTTTGATGAGCACTTCAGGCTTCAGAGCCGACGGGCTTGTATTTGTATGGAAAGAAGCTTGAAAGATGTCTCGGCATTCTATATATATCTAGCATGGATATGCTCTGTTAGTCACTCGAGCATTCCATCAAAAGGAATATGGATGTTTATTTATCTTTGGATATTTTACACTTTGATATGTTCACTTCATTCCTCTCATAGTCAGTGGCGGACCTAGAATTTGAAACCAGGGTAGTCCTGGTAAAAAAATTTCATATGCAACACGATAAAATTCAAAGAAAAAGTTCGGTAAAATGGCTATAAATTAACCAAATTGAGATAATATAATTGAAAGGTTCAAATCGCCGTAGTCCTTCAGAGTAGGGAAGTGTTCCTGCGTCTTATTGAATCTGAACCCAAATCCATACGGATAATGGTAGTTAGCAGCTTGATAGAAAAGAATCCATTTTCTTACAAAGAACAGAGAGATTGCATCAGGGTGTGGAGCGCACAAGCTGGCTATGCTGTGACGGATGGTCATCTCCTTCGCTCACGCGTTCCCCTCGCCTCCTGACACCATCACCATCTTACCGCCGCCGCCTAGACCGCAGGATCAGCTCCCGCACTGCCGTGGACTCGCGCCACGGCGGGTCCCGCACTGCTCGATGCCTCAGCACACCAACGGTTGTGCCGCACAGGCTCGGCAACGGCGACTAGCGCCAGGCCCAGCCGCCAGGCGGGGCGGCGGGTGGCGGGCGACGGCTGGCCGGCGGTGTGCTGCGCTCCGCGCTTGGGCAGCTCGACCTCGCTGCTCGGGGACGGCGGCGCTCGTGCTGGTGGAGTCCGCAGGGACGCCATCCGCCTCACGGTCAAGTGTCGCAGACTCGCAGCCTTAGGGACTCGGGACGGGATGTGGCTTCTTTCGGTTCTTTCTCTTGGGCCAGATTTTTTTATGGGCTAAAAGATCGAAAATGCTGACTACTAAAAAGTTTTTGGGCCATATTCCAGGGTAGTCCTGGCTCTTCCTGGACTACCCTTTGGGTCCGCCACTGCTCAAAGTATATACTTGTGTTCCGATGCCACACTTAGCATTGCTAACTAGTCGAAAGTCTTGTTTCTGGCAGGAGATAACCAGGGTTCAACTATGATGATCAAACGAAGGCATCCGATAAAGAGCAGGAGATGCCTGCTTTGCCATGGAAATCCGCTGTCTTCGCTACCGAAGTAAGAAACTCCGATCCACTTCTTTATAAACAAGTTCTTGATTGATAGATCTAATTTCCATTCTACATTTATTTTGTTTTCAATTTGAAATCACCATGCCAATTATCCATTTTGTTTGAAAATTTTGGGAATTTGGAAGAAAAATTTTATGTTTATAGAACTTGATCAGTGTTCACCTTTTGTGCTGAGTCTACTAGTCACTGCTATCTTCTTGTTTGATTCTGATAACGGGGCAGTTCGCTGGTTTGGTTTGACCAGCCAGCAAGCTGCTTCACCTTTCAATTTACTATTCATCAAATTAGTCAAACAATATTTTTTTCTCATAAAAATTTAGTCGGAATAGTGTTTTTCAGCCCAATTTCATACCCGCGAACGGAGCTAACGGTGCCTAAATACTAGTACGTGACCAGCCTCGATCTCGTTTTTTTGGCTTTTGTAACTGAACTTACACTCTGGATACCACACATGGCAAAACGAGCCGTGCACACTGTATCGTGACAGCCGCACGCACGAGAATCACCGCCCATACCTGCCATCGCTTGATCGACTATTTCTAGTCCGATTCTCAACCAACGGTTTGTTAGTTTGGTCGTGGCTTGTCGTAAATGATCGTAAATTTCTAATCGAAATAGTATTTTTCTCTCACACAAATCGGTCAGCAGTATTTCTTCACGAACCAGCAACGATACGAACCAGCCAACCGAACCTGCTGCAAGTCGTTCGAGACCAGGGGCGGATCCAAAGGAGGCCGCCGGGCTACAACCCTCCCTCTAGTGAGCCTGATTTCTCATTAGACCACGATTATTTAGCCTCAAATCAGTATTAATCTCTAGCTCTAGCCCTAAATCTTCATTGTTTAGCCTCCTTTGTTCCTATCCTGCATCCGCTCAAGACCACTCCCATTCGAAAGATAATTTTGGGATCCATGTGCGCACGAAATTTGGTTCAAAACGGTGGATCATGACCGGAGAACTCGTGCCCCAAAGTCGGAAGAGAAACACACTCGCACGGAGATTTCCCCCAAACAGACCTGTCCTCACCGAACTCCCAATTTCTCCATGAATTCTATACCAAATTAGACGAAACCACTCGCATTTGAAAGACAATTTAGTCTCCCACAAACACACTGAGTTTGAATGGGAACTATGGATCACGTCGCGAGAGGTGAACCCGAGGATTCGAAAGAGAAGCACAGATTGAACAGGTTCGCGTCCGCTGGCGTCGACCCAGGAGGGCAGCATCCGAGCCACCGCGCCGCGAGCGTCCCCACCCGTTGGATCTGGGCGGATCCGACGGCCCGCGGGAAGCTGCTGCCGCGGCGGGGTAGATCGATCCGCGTGTGAACACGATCGACCAATCACAGCGTGGCGCTACGTCCCTGAGCCGTTTCACTCGCCACCGCTATTTAAGCGGCCTCGTTCTCGCCTCCAGTCTCATCACCGACCGCCGCCGCCGCCGACGACACAGCGAGCGAAGGCAGTAGTGCACGCACTGTTCCGGAGTGGGTAGGGACCTGGGAGAGTAGCAGTAATTGTCGCGATGTCGACGGAAGAGGCTGTTGTCGCTGAGGTCCCGGTGACCGAGGTGGAGGCGGAGGCCCCGGCGGCCCAGGAGGCGGAGACGGACAAGGCGAAGAAGGCACCAAAGGAGAAAAAGGCACCAAAGGAGAAGAAGGCGCCCAAGGAGAAGAAGCCATCCGCGGCGAAGAAGCCGGCGGCGCACCCTCCCTACGCTGAGGTGAGAGCGCCGGTGGTTTAGTCCGTTGCGACTTGCGAGCTGATTCCTTGTTCTTCGTGGTTTAGTCCGGCAGCGGTTGTTTTTTTGATTGTGCACTTTTGATGAGGAATCTGTTGGATTGGTTTTATCGCTGGCTTTTGTTCATGTTCGCGAATTCGATCTCGAGTCTGAGATGCATTTTTTTGGTGGTCTTGTTGCAGATGATCTCAGAGGCAATTGCTGCCCTGAAGGAGAGGACCGGGTCGAGCTCGGTGGCCATCGGCAAGTACGTCGAGGAGAAGCACGGCGGCAAGCTTCCCACCAACTTCCGCAAGCAGTTGACTGTGCAGCTGAAGAAGCTCGCTGCAGCCGGCAAGCTGGCGAAGGTGAAGAACTCCTTCAAGCTGCCGACCGCCCGCCCTGCCACTGACGCCAAGCCCAAGGCCGTCAAGCCCGCCGCCAAGACCAAGGCACCCAAGGCGTCGCCGAAGGCGAAGGCCAAGACCGCGGCGAAGCCCAAGGCTGCTTCGCCCAAGGCCAAGGCCAAGGCCGCTCCCGCCGCCGCGTCTACCAAGCCCCGCGGGCGCCCTCCCAAGGCTGCCAAAACCTCCACCAAGGCCTCCCCCGCCAAGGCGGCCAAGAAGGCTGCTCCCGCTGCCAAGAAGGAGAAGGCAGTGGCGACGCCCAAGAAGGCGGCCACCCCGAAGAAGGCCGCCGCCGCCGCTGCTCCGGCCAGGAAGGGCGCAGCCAGGAAGGCCAAGAAGTAGGCTGCCTGCCTGGTCTCCGGCGAGACCCTCGCTCCCCATTCCGCCTATAGATTTTCCCCCTCCTTTCTACCTGGATTTTGATCCATTCTTGTCAGTAGCTCTAGATTCGCCAGTAGCTCCGGCATGAGTATCAGCGGTAGTAGTCATGCTCCTGCCTGTATGATGAACATCAAGTTCAGCTATAATATTTCATGATTTCTGGCTTCTGTCGATTGTTGGATTGGTTGATTTTGTTGGGATGTAGAAGGATCCTAACATCGCATTATGTGTGGATATTTGACTGCCAACTCTAATCGGCTCTGTTCAATTGTTAGATTGGTTGATTTTGTTGGATTTAGAAAAAGGTTGGGGATTTTTTGAAAATGACGCTGGAATCTTGGCGAAATCTCTAGAATCATCGCTTGCTGCAATCATGCTTACAGCTAATTGATTTTGGAGGACTTTCCAAAACCAAAAGAGATGTATCGTTTCTACAATCATGCTTAACAGCTATTATGCTTACAATCATGCTTATAACACATATACTTTGCAAAAGAGATTCTGGTTTGAGCGATTGGAATTTCAAGGATGCAGAATGGCGATAGTTTCCAAAACCAAAAGAGGTTCGGGTTTGCGCGATTAGGGCGTGGAGGCGCCCGCCGAAATGAGAAGCAGGTGGGATGAGCTGAAGCGATTGCGATCGCGCTGGCCCTTGGCCGTTCGAATTTCGGGGGATGGACAGGTGGGGGCACGTACGGACGAATGAGAAGATGGTCTGATAGGTCTGCCACCCTTCATTCGTGCCTGGGCTCTGGAAGTTCGCCAGCTAGGAGGCAAGAGTAGAGATGGGCCAGCGTCCGGCAATTTTATAAATACTAAAATAAAGGAAAAATTCCATATTACCTCATTTAACTTTTATAAAAGTCTGTTTTTTACCATAGACTATAAAACCGAATAAACCACCTTCCTGAAATTTTAAAACCGTTCAGGTTTTAAAAATGGTTTTGTCTTTTTCTTTTTTATTTGTTTTAGCTTAATCTTTTAAAAAATCATAGTATATCACAGAAAATCATAAAATAAAAAATCTATTTTTTTGACTCACATGAGTAGATCTAGATCTGAATATATAATATGATATGTTTTAGTATAATTTTTTTGCTGTAGGTTTAGATATATGTTTTTCTATAATTAATTCATAACTGCAGTTTTTATTGTCTAATTGTGATGAAATTTCGATGATGGGCTAATTATTGTATGCTTGAACTATAATAAAAATTTCATACTTATTGAATCATGTATAAGTTATAGATTTATTTAGATGTATGCTCGTTAAAAAAATATTTATAAATCAACAGTATCCGGCGTTGTGGTCGTTTTTTTTCTTGGAATCGAAATCGTGGTCCTGGTTGCCACGGTGCAGCAGCAAATGGATGCGGTGGTGGCGCAACTTGCTCGATGTGCAGCCTGTTCGTTTGGTCGTATTTGATTTATAAGCCATAACTTATCAGTCAACGAATAGTATTTTTTTTTTATATCAAACCAGCCAATAGCACTTTCAACCATGAATTATAAGCCAAATCAGGCCCAACGAACAGGGCAGTGGAGAGCCTGCACCGTTGCGAGCTGCCGGCGCAGCACTTGGCGTCATCGCGTCAGGGCTGCCGGCGAGAGGCAACCAACAAGAGGCAAGCCGCAAGGCGTGTAGGTGACGGATATAATTGCATTCTTTCTTGAAGTGAGTTATTATATAATATTAATATTTTTTAATATATTTTTTGTTAAGTTAAGTAAGTTTGACTTATTAGAAATAAGAACGACAATTAAAAAGAAAAAGAGGGAGTAGTTTCTATTATAACTTTATTTATAAACCTAGAAAATACAATATTAACAGTGTGTTGTGAGACAAATCTAAGAGCAATTCCAACGGACTTTCTATTTGCTTATGTGTATTTGGATTTGGATAATTTGGTATAAAACAGGTCTCCAACAGACGATACACAATAGCTATTAAATTTGAAAGCTTCACTGCATGCGGCTCGGTGATCCTCAACATTACTTATTTTTTGCTGCATAGAGAGCAACTACTTTGTTCGGATCCATGTAGATAATACATAGTAGCTATATGCTAATAGTTATCTCTTTTGGATTAAATAGATGTAATTAATAAAATAGCTAACTATTAGTTGGACCTCTAAATAGTAATTACCTCACTGGTGGAAGCAAATCAGATAATCGGCCTGTTCGCTGGTGGGTTTCTAGGCTGATAAATCCGGCTGGTGCTGGTTTACTGTGAGAGAAAAACACTGTTGGTTGGCTGATAAGCCATGACTACATGCTGAATAGCAGTTAATAGTTATCTTAGTAGCATTTTTCATTAGCTGTGCATCAAACACTCCAACTAATAGGTAGCTAATAGTTAGCTAGCTAATATTAGATATGAGCTATTAGCCAGCTAACTATTAGCAGATAATAAATCATAATAGGGTCTAAGACACTAAGGCCCTGTTTGATCCTTAGAATTAATAAGTAACAACTAGTTACTCATGTTTAGTCCCTAAGTATCAAACAGGCGGACTAGTTCTTAATCCACTAGTTATAGACTAGTTGTTAATTTATTGGTTCACTTATAGGAGTTAATATTACTAGTTGTTACTCCTAATTCATCCGAACAGCCCCTAAGCTCGATGAATAAGAAGCGAGCTTGAAGCCTAAAATAATACAGTTCAAGTGCTGCTGCATCTAGGAAAAAACGAGAGGGTTGGAGTCAGGAACGACAGTTTCTGTAATATAGTCGTAGATGAGTTGCAGTATTTTGCTTATTTTCTTAAAAGTGGAATAATGAGTTAACTATGCAATTGTCCTTTTTGTATTAGTTATTAGTCATTTCTCAACAAATACTCAACTTTGCCTGCTTAGGTCCCTTGCACTGTTCATGAACTTTGCCGATTTCATTTAAAGTAGAACCATTGCACAGATATTGCTAAGCCTAGTTCCTTGATCCGGTTTGCTCGCAACTCGCGGAAAGAGATGAAGAATTTACAGGACAAAGCTGGTGTTTATTTATGTTTATAAGGTAAGCCGAACGGGTCACAGAGCAAATTGATAGACCCACTGCAAAACTCATCGAAGATTTATCTTCCATAGAAGGTAATACCCACCAATATTATGTATGATGAGAGAAATACCGGAGATAACTGAATAACTTGGTCAACCTTTACAGAAGAAAAGACAAGACATTAAATGCCATACGCCTTCTGCACTCCAGGTAAGTTCTTCTAGAATACAGTAGATGAGATCAGACGACAGATGGGAATGTTTTTTTTTTGCAAGGTTGTTGAGCTATGTGTGAGTCATGAAATTGGTGTTACTCTCCCTTTTCCAAAAAGAATGTAAATCTCGTTTCCCAAAAAATCAAAGATCTTTATTTTTGAACAAATATATATAAAAAAAGTTTTGATGTTTATTGACCAAATATATTTAATAAAGTATTGATGTTTATGATGTGTAATAAATATTATTAGATTAATCATAAAATATTTTTTTTTATAATAAACCTAATTACATATGAAAACGTAGATAATATCTTTTACTGATATTAAGGATCCTTAACTTGTATCCGTATATCATTAGAAGCCCCGGAGTATAAACCTGGTTCCACGCTGTATTGATATATTAAGGGTCCTTGATGTCTAAGGGTCCGTTTGGTTAGTGTTCAGAATCTGCCGAGCCGTATTGTAGGCTGTCTTCAACAAGAAATTCATATGGGAACCCAAACTCAAAATGGGTAATAAAAGACCAAAAATCAGTCTCCAACAGAGTACCTATACGGGAGACTTATTTTTGGTTGCCTAAGACGCACAACCAAAATATGAACATCGTCTCTCCTGGAAACCCATTTGCAGAAAGGGTTTTTTTGAGTCTTGTTATTGCAGAAGATGTCTAATAGGTATTGAACCATTTGCCTGTAGTGCTACCAAAAGGACGAATATGTCTTGTATTTTGTGTGTTGTTGTTGGAGATAGCCTTAGGCATGCCAAACCGAGTTAGGTAGCTATTTGGTTTACTACCCTAGGTTAGGCTGCCAAACAATCTTAGGCGGTGCTGCAGTGCTTTACCACAGGATTTCTTGCCGATAGTGCGGCGAACGATTCCTTTGCCGCAACTCTGGCATGCCGACGCGAGCTGCGTTCAGCCCGGGAAAAAATGGCGCGTAACTTTGGCGCGTGTGTGCATATTTGGCGTGAAACTGCAAGCGTGGTCCCTTTCCTTTGGATATTTCTTCACCGCTTATCCATCCTTATCTCTTCACTGTTGGGGGGAAAGAACACCATGCCCGCAACCGCCAGCTTCTAATTAGATATCTAAATGTTGACAACAATATGTCTATGACAAATGATAAATGGGAAGGGCTCACGCCCAGACGTCCGGACGGACGGCATGTCCGGACGCAGCTCCTGCGCCACCTCCATCATGTGTGCCCGCGCGGTTCGCTTGCCCACACCCAGGAGTACGAGGGGACCAGCCGAGCCCGGTCCATACGATGCAGCTCCCGTGCCTCCTCTGTCACGCGCGCCCACAGGAAGCCCGCTCCCTTTCACGCGCCCAAATGCACATGGGGACCGATCCTAGTCACATAGGCATCATAGGTGTCTATCGGCCTTAGGCACCCGCACTGTGACCCACGACGGTGCCCCATCAGTAGCAGCAGACAGTTGCGGCAGGACGCTGTCCGCCAGCCACCGGCTCCATTGCATCATGAGCTCCCTAGATCTTTTTTTGAAACATCTAGATGAAACACTTGAAACATACGTCTAAAAATAAATGAAACACTTGAAACATACGCTTGAAACATGCGTGTATAGCCATAGCAACATATGGAACATCCAGATCTACTTTTGCAACATCCAAATGAAATACTTGCAACATACGTATGAAACACCTAAAACACTTGAAAACATACGCTTGAAACATGCATGTTATAAAACATCTGGATATACTTCTGCAACATACAGATAAAACGC